GACAATCTAGATACGGAAGCCATGAACATAACGATGAACGGTTCTGTCATACCTATAACAGTGAAATCTATACATGACGTCCTGGGCTTACCTATGGGAGGAGTAGACCTCAATTCAGTTGATCCATCACCGGCAATCAATGACATCATTACCGCATGGAGAAAACAATTCTCAAAAGAAAGAATGCGKCCGAAAGATGTAATGAATGTTATACAAAAATCAGGTGATGCGGGGGCGATGTTCAAGCTAAGCTTTTTAGTTATAGTCATCAACACCCTGGCGGAGTGTAGCCGGGTCGGTGTTTGCCACCTGCATTTCTTGTCCCGCATTCGGAGCTTAAATATGATTTCACACATCAACTGGTGCAARTACATTTTTGATTGTATTGCGACAAGTAAGAAGAGTTGGAAAAGAGACAGCCTGATGTCTTTCTATGCAGGCCCMTTGACATGTTTGAGTGTAAGTTACCTTTGTCATAACACAGTTCAATACAAGAGTTTCAATACTAGTTCAAAATAGAAACAATTAATGTATTCATCTTGTACAGTTGCTATATGTCCATGCAACCAAATCTGACCACATCCAGATCGACAACGACACACATCCTATGAAGGCGTGGACAATGGACTTGTTGCGAAAAAGGCAGGAGGTAGATCTTAGACGTGGTGGCTTTGGATACGCAGAATTGAAACTTATATCCACCAGCCAGGATCGAGCATGTGAGCAAGATGTTGAAGTGGGYATCGCATCAAATAACATGGCTGAACAAAGTGCAAAAGGTCAAGCTGAAGATGGCCGCATCACAAAGGAGGTAACTTGTAAACTGTTATAATTATGTTTATGTTTTGAGATATATTCACGTAAGCTATAGAACTTTCATTAAGGGGCTGTTTATGTATATTGACTATCACAAACCACGTTGACCACGCTTTTTTGATTGTATTATTTGCAAGATGTAAAAATCTGATAAAATTAATACACATCATATAACTAATACGCACATTAAATGTGTATTATGTATCTAGTACATCCCTCTTAAAGTGTTTGTTGTATACTAGTTTTTGTATATACATTATATGAACSGTATATGTTCATTGTATTATTTGTTGTTTTATGTATAATTTAACTACCTGCTACCCTTAATGTGATAAAATGGGAGACGTAGAATGGTGGGTGTGATACAAGATTCTTGCTATGTTTTGTATATTTTGTTCTTTTCCTTTATATTTGAAACAATCCTTTTTTTATWTTAGATCCTTTGTTGGATATTATATAGCCGTCATAAACAAATTCATAATTCTGTTTTTGAAACTGTGTTTATTTTATATGAAATATTTACAGCTACTGGAATTACAATCTGATGTAAATAKAAATTCATCGAATGAAACCTAGCACTGATTAAATCCACGGCAAAATACCACTTCTACCCCGTATATGATGTGTTTGTCATGTGGTATCTTATGTGAAAAATGATTTATTTCATGCTGTTATGTTACCTTGTTCTTCATATATATGTTTTAATACACATTGGAYATGTTGTTTTCCTTATCGTATTTTGGTTGTTTTTTGCCAAGGARTGCATGAGGGTGATGCGTAAAAAAATTGCTGATCTTTATTTTGGAAGAGAGGAGGCGGTAATAATGYTGGATTCGTTCATTGAACGCTTCCCTGGTGATGCTGATTTCGATGAATTCAAGATCAATTTAGCTTCTTTGTTTAAAGATAGCAAGTGGGATACCCCTGCTACGAGCCATGTTCCTGACCTGCCTATTGTTGAGGTAACACCTCCTAAGCTGTCAACCATTCCTGATCCAGACATGCTCTCACCCTTGTCTCAATTTTGGACGAGCCCTACGGTGATTGCGGAGGTTGATAGGGCATCCAATCAGAAATTGCTGCAAATAGGAAAGGAAAACAAGCGATTTGCACGCTCTTTCCAAAATGAGACGGTCGGGATGCCGTCATTACAAGTACCAAGGGAAAAAGTTGGGATATTAGGGATAAGAAGTGCTGAGCCGACTGATTTTCGAAAAAATAAAATGTGTAAGCGAGCCGACAGCAATGACAAAGCAATTGATCCGTATGAAGGTATCGAGCCACCATCGTTCGATTTGGGGATAAGTCCATCGGGTTCACATGTAGTTGCTGTTGGGTCTGCTTTGAMTACATCATCAATGCAAGAGGGTGTGAGGCCACCGTTATCGAAGAGGGATCCGAAGCTGAGTTTCAAGCTTCGTTCACCTTATGTTACGCGTGCTGTCACATTCGATGTAACAAGTGATGAGCGGMAGTTACGTGATTGGATTTTGAGGGGGATTGGCGGAATACTGTAAGTTGCAATTTAACTTTTAATGTTTAATTTAATGTATTTTTTTAATGTACAATAATGGGTTATATGTTTTAAATTATTTAATGTATGAATGTTAAAACACAGGAACCTGTTTTCGTGACCACATACGGAAAAACAATAACACGGCAAGCATTATGTGTTGGACGGGTGGTCGACGGTACTTAACCGAGATGAGAGACTGCGAAGCAACGAATCCCCTAGACGTTACTTCTTTATGACAAGCGTTTCGGTAACTTCATTAAAAATACACCTTGTTTTTTTGTCATKCCATTATATAACATCCATTTTAGTCAAATACAACTTATGGATTTGTTGTGGGTTCAGATGGACCAGACCATGAGGGACAATACTTTGGATATTCACCGGAGATATGAGACTTTCAAAGACAACATTTCAAGTTGCACCAATAATGATAGGGCGCTCGTTAGTATGCGCAATGTGGACATGGTACGTAAATCGTTTTGTTTGGAATATTCTGGTAAAATAAAGTAGAAGTGCATTGAAATTATAATCGCTAGTTTACGTATTTATAATTCTAGGTATTCTTCCCGATCGTGGAAGAATCATTCTACTACATTGTTGTGTTTRATCTCAAACGACCCTCGATAGTTATCATTGACTCAATGGATCGTGACGGTAAYGTTGATGATATATACGGGCCTAGTCCGCAAATTTTGGTAAGTTACCGGTATTAGTTATCGCATTCTACATGCTKCATGATTAACATATTCATGTTGTCGAATTTATATTGCTTCAGCAAGACATGATGATACTTCACCTTTTGAGAGAGGGCCACGATGCGGGGAAGGTTTATGCCGAGATGGACCAGGAGCGAATAAGGACAAGGTGGCAGTCAAATGAGAGCTCAGTTGATTCGGGTGTAATGCTGATGAGGCATATGGAGACGTATTTTGGGGTTTATGGAGGGAAATTTGAATCYGGGCTTTACAAAGAGAGTACAAAACAAAAGAAGCAGCTAAAGGATCTACGAACAAAGTATTGTTCGAAGATCATACTCAGTGACGAAAACATCAGRAGGACATCAATYATAACGGAAGTGGAAAGATTCATTGCGATGGAGACGTCACTTAATGCGAATAAGACACGTGTGGCTAGCCGAATCGGTCGGGGGAAGAAGTAGACARCACATATAGTTGGATTTCTCAATGCTTTTTGAAACTTTCGTATCTACCTTACTTTTATAGTACACTATATGATGCTTCTGATAGCGGCTTAGGTGTTATAGTTACATCGCGTACATCATATGGTGTTTTCGCTTTTTGGTATCTCAAATTTTGATAAACACTATTTCTACGTTTTAGTTACTCGGTGGAATGATATATGAATAGCTGAAATCAGGTTGATGATATGGACTAAATTGATTTTTTTTAGAATTGCACTTACTTAAAGTGAACCTGCTTGATTTTTTTTCTTTGTATTTCATGAACTACATAGTTTACTTGGTACCATGYTTTTTTTATTGGGTTTTTGCATGTGTACTACTACCTGATTGTTCTCGTACGCTGCATTTGTTACATGTAATTTATTGGTTACGGCAAAAACGTTTCCTTCCATGTATATAACTATTATATGATTTATAGATACGTTAGGCAGGTTTTAGGGGCATGTTGTCGAGTATTATATGATTTATAGATACGTTAGGCAGGTTTTAGGGGCATGTTGTCGAGGTAAGTGGATGTACTATATATGTTCCAAGCTCTACCTCATTGGTCGATACTTCAATTTTATACCATATTTGTTATTACGGTCTTTCAGTTACTGGACGCACCTGAATTTGTAGCTGCCTTTGGTTAGGATATTCATATTTATGTTCGTAATATAATTAATTATTGTTAAATTATTACAATGTTTCATTTTGCAATCTGACAATGGCTTAATTTTCAACAATTCGTGCAGCAAAACAATCATCGGGGTATTGGCGTCAAATTCGTGGATTTGCATGTTGAAGTTGCAGTGAAACTGCAATAGCGCAACACTGTTGTACGAGTCGTCACGTTGAATACGAAATTGACTACAWAAAAACTTTATAACTTCCAGGTACTATTCCAGCTTGATCGCATACATAATGCATTAGTTCTTAAAATAAATCACATATCTATGACATAAAAATAAATAACGCATAACCTTAATAATGCACAGTTTAGGGTTTATGCTACGAAATAAAGCATTGTTAGTTTGTTGTTGAAATGGTTAGCTGCTGTGATAATATATAATTAGGCAATGACACAAAAATCTCCCTCACGTGGAAATTGCATTTCTAAATCATATGGCAACTACAACATATATATTATTCAACATTCGAATGAGGATGTTGTTGTTAACTGATCCAAAACTAGAGATTAYTGCATCATGCATTCTACAAATAAACATAGGCTACGTTCTCCATGAGATTGAATCAATATTATCATCAACTGCTATATACCATAAATGTTATAATTCTATTTTCATATGTTTAACAAACTCAATTAATAAGATAAGGAACATCAAAAACCTCCAAGTTGCTAACAAGATAATGTTTGTGCCAAGTATGTGATAATCATATCAAATAACATATGCCAAAAAATGTCGAACAAACAATACGTAAGCAAATTATAACAAAACGATAACACTCCTAACTACTTGAATGTAACTAATCTACCAATTCTGGGCAATTACGTGAGTCATGACCACTACGTTGTCCACATGTTGCACATCTTCGTTTTGTCTTTTTGCTGTTAGTCTGGATTTTTTCAGATACACTTACCAGCCTTTTACCAGTCCCGCAACCCTTGTTCCTAATGCCAGAAGGTGGTAGAATATCCACCTCATCCGGTATTGAAACACCTAGATGTTCCCTAATTGCATCCATCCTCTGTTGAGATGGGTCTTCATATGGTAATTCCTTCGCTATATCAACCATAAATGCGTCGAGATTTCTCTCAAATCTAGCCAATATAGACTTATCATTCCGGGCGATGCTTATGATATCGTCAACCTTCGAATATACATTACTAATGCACTTTTCCTTTTCGCCATCAACCTCGCCGTATCGCACCCTTGAAGATTGTATCTGCACTGGAACTAAATGYCTTTTCCATCGCCGTAACACATATCTATCTGGTATGAATTCAACTTCATCGTTTATCAATACCTTGAACGCGTGACGACAAAGATAACCATTACGCGTGAATAGGTTGCACTCGCATTCGACGGTATMTGTTGAGTAATTACGGTTCACCTATAGCACAAAGTTTTGTAATCAACCACAATGAAACAAAAACTRCGAAAACATAAATAAAATTGTTGTGCGGATTAGGGATATGATACCAAATATGTGATYTTCTCAGATGATTTCTTCGTCTTGTGGCTAATCACGAATGTCTTTAAGACATCCCGACATTCGACATTCTCTATAGCACAGCACCATACAGCCTTCTTTATCTCCTTTTGTATGTCAGAAAACACATTYCGACTGTATATTCTTGATGCATAACTTTCTAAACGCAACGGAGTAACAAATTTTGGATTAGTGGTTCTCGTTACTGTCTCATGAACAGACTGTCTGTATCTTTGCTTCTCTATAGYTACGTCGTAATTATTAAGGAATTGAACCAAATCAAACCAGTAAGATTCGTATATATTAATATACGAATTCGAACTCTCGGATCTTGAGGTTGTTTTCATTAGACCAGACATTGGAGTGTCCTTGTAAAAGGCAGGRATCCACGAGTGTCGAATTGCATACATATCTGTGAACCAAGTATCTCCCCCGAGATTGTATTGCTCGATCATCTCATGCCAACGAYGCTCAAACTCCGMTGGTCCAATATGTATGTTCCATACGAGCGTGTTGATTACTTTATTAAAACTAGGATCTTGATTTAGTGCGACACTGACCTGCGTGTATATGGCAACCATTAATGAATCAAATTAAATTTAAACATCATTTAAAATTACATAGCATTACGTMCATACAACTTACCTTTGAAGGCACTTTTTTCATAATGTGCCACATACAGAGTCTGTGTTTGGCTTCCGTAAACACCATCGGGATAGCTTGCTTCATTGCAGAACATTGGTCTGTAATGACGAAAACTGGTTGCTTCYCATGACATTTTATGAAAGCCTTTAAAACCCATGTAAAGTTCTCGATTGTCTCGCCACTGATTAGAGCGGACCCGACRACAACGGAAGCCTTGTGATTGTCAACGGCCAAAAAAGGCACRAAAATCATGGCATGCCTGCAACACAAATCAGCGAATTAGTTGTACCTATTTCTTCCCACGTTATGATTCCATAAAAAATATAAACAAGTAGTAATCCTTAAAAACTCTATGGCACTGTGAATATTACTTGTTCGTGCGATACGTCCCGTCAAATGATATGACATCACCGAATTMTTTGTAGTTAATCCTAGCAACTTCATCTGCCCAAAAAATTGCGATCAACTCATTTTCATTACACTTGTATTCGAAGAAATAATCTGGAACAACGTCACGTCTATTTGATAGTTTATTGATCAACATCGTTGCGTCCTTGTTCCCAACACAAGCAACAGCATCCCTCTTAAAATTCTTGAAATCAATCTCTGAAACTCGAGTATGCTCAAACCCCCCGTTCAATRCCGTTTGAATACGATGTGCCCTTCTCGCACCGACTTTGTAACTCGAGCTGTTGAGTACAKTCTTGAAATCCGTATACTTCATCTGTCTATTTTTCTTAGAGAAACGACGATCGTTATCGTTGAACAACGCATGGTTATGTTGCTCAACAAACTCGTAAATCTCGTAACAATCCCCATCTTTTGTCAAGCGGATTTTTATACATGCATTACAACCACAACGTTTTAGGTTCGTATTGCGATATCTCCTCTCACCGGGCTGAATATCCAAAGAATTAAATTGACTTTTCTTTGGGTTWCCCTCTCTACTACAGACAAACCATCTATTTTGAATGTTTCCATGTTTGTTCGTTTTTTTTGCATGTACACGAACATCAAATCCGGCCTTGTCCGCATAATCTYTGTACACCTTTTCAGCATCGTTTAAAGTTTCATATTGTGCATTCGTCTTTGGCTTAAGTGTGTCATCGACATTTGGGATAAAAAACTTCYTTCCTTCTGAGGTCTCACCAATATCATATTCAAAATCGGTATGTGGAGGGGTGAGATCACCAGAACCTGCTTGTAAAGACGTAGTTAGTCTTGAAAACTAAACTTGTTATTACACAAACTAGAGAATTAAAAAAAATAGAACAGTGATGCAAGGTTCCATATCAATTATGTTGGGCAAGTAAGTTTGCATTCTCCTGACACGATCACAGTAGGTAGTTAATATCAATGTATAGAGTGAACATAACGTTGAACAATCGTAAAATATTATACATATCGGATTCCCATCGTTCATAAAATATTTACAGTTAAAGTTGTCTTTGTGACAGCCCGCATACATCTTACACATCAACCTCGGTATGATATATATATCGGGTTCGTTTTGCTTTTTTAGGCTGTCATCTTTTAGAACTATTTAGCGCATGCAGTGAGAAAATAACGTCAATTGAATGGATCTTCAACGGTTAGTGAGAATAAATGTTCGTAGTCGAAAATACTGGACTTAGATCAAATTTACCAAATACTAGTAACCACTTTTCATAGCTGTCGACAACCGGGGTGTAAGAACATAAAGGAGAGTTGCTATGTGTTCATATGAGTAGCTGTTCACTATGGAATCTGGTACTAGTAGATAATGCAAGTACTTACGAATCTGGTACTGTTAGATGTTGAAAGTAATAGTATATTTAAAGTGTACTCTAAAAATTAAAATTGGAATATTATGTAACGACCAACTGTTAAAATGCGTTATATATCTCCCAAACCTAATCACAGTTTCTCCTAATTAGCAAATGATTTACTCGTTCTCTCTTACTGTACTCTAAAAAGTCGTGGTTTTGTCTTGTGTCTTTTTATTTGTTTAGTAGATATCACAGTTATTGTTAATGTTCAGATAATTTCAGAAAGTCTATATTTGGGGAGGCTTATGAAGTGGAACTGAAGTTCATTAACAGGTACTTTTTATGTTTTATAGCCTTAACAGTGGATTATTCTGGAGATGCTTTACTCCTAACAGTACTCTTATGCTTAAATAGGAGAACCAATGAAGATTTGAACCTTTTTCTTGTAATCCTCAACCAATAGATCAGAAGGTTATCACAAAAGGTTTGATATCCTTTTAATAATTGTAGAATTGATATCACATTGATTCAAATTTGTTCATACATATATGAAAAAGTAGCTGTTCATTCATATATCTTGAACTTGTTTTACCGTATGCAGAATCAATATCTTCAAATGAGTTGTTCATGTTGATTTTAGTCTATTGTGTAACGAACAACAGTTGTTCATGTTCATGTTGTTCATGTTGTTCATGTTGAACCAATCTACAATTGGAGTATTATGTAACGAACAGCTTTTTAAATGCGTTATATATCTCTCAACCCCAATCACAGTTTCTCCTAAGTAACAACTGATTTACTCGTTCTCTCTTACTGTACTCTAAAAAGTCGTGGTTTTGTCTTGTGTCTTTTTATTTGTTTAGTAGATATCACATTTGTTGTTAATGTTCAGATAATTTTGGAAGTCTATATTTGGGGAGGCTGATGAAGTGGAACTAACTTTCATTAACAGGTATTATAGCCTTAAAAGTGGATTCTTCTGTATACGCTTTACTCCTAACAGTACTCTTATGATTAAATAGGAGAACCAATGAAGATTTGAACCTTTTTCTTGTAATCCTCAACCAATAGATCAGAAGGTTATCACAACAGGTTTGATATCCTTTTAATAATTGTAGAATTGATATCACATTGATTCAAATTTGTTCATACATATATGAAAAGTAGATGTACATTCATATATCTCGAACTTGTTTTACTGTATGCAGAATCAATATCTTCAAATGAGATGTTGTTCATGTTGATTTTAGACTATTATGTAACGAACAACAACTGTTCATGTTCATGTTCATGTTCATGTTCATGTTGTTAACCCAAGCCCATATGTGTTATCTTACTAGTTACTACTAATACGTTCATAACCCGCCAGTAGGGTTTTCCTCTTTGCCTCAGCCGACGACTCAGCAAAAAGGACGAGGTAGAGCCGCCGTCGCAGTCGTCGTCGTCGGAGTTGACATTCTCAGGTCTGATTCTTTATATATTCAACCCTAATTTCATAGCTAGGACTATCAATTGTCTACCTTTGCTTCGTTCCACTCCAAAAACACTTGTTTTACACAAATTAGTAAGATTCACGGTGGTATGATCTGTTGAACGCATCTGTTATAATCCTGCAACTATGACAAACTTGTATGACGTTTGTTTTTCGTTTTTTGTTTGAGTTAAATTTAAAATTTTATTTGGAGATAGGGGGATGTACATTCTGATATGTAACCTATCGATTCAATTATACAGGTTAAAATCATGTATATTTAGGCATCATGAATTTATTATCAATGAATTGCGGTTCTGTATTATCTACACGAAAGAGAAACATTGCATTTCGTTACTGATTCAAGTAGTTTTTCGGGGTTAAAACTCTGATTAAGCTAAATATTAGATTTAGATATGTTTTCTATATTTGATGAAATTGATGACTAGTTTTGAGGGATTTCACTTTTCATTGGATTAATTTGTATTCAGCAGTGAAAATGGCGGACACCAAGGCAGTGACTATCCGTACAAGGAAGTTCACGACAAACAGGCTTCTTTCCAGGAAGCAATTTGTGAGTTCTTTGCACAACTGCAACCTTTAATCTGTAGTAATGTTAATAGTTTATTTGAAGTTTAACTTTTTTTCACACGCATTGTGTTTGTTTATGCAGGTAATTGATGTGCTCCATCCTGGAAGGCCAAATGTCTCCAAGGTTCGACACTTACTAATTAATATGCAACTCTATCTGGACTTATCACCCATATAAGTCTGTATTTTAATGTAGAAGTATGCTATAAGGTGGAATATGTTGCTGGTAACTTCATAATTTCATAGAAACTAGGTGTTTCATAAAGCAATCATTTCATTCCAATTGAATCTTTTATGTTTTTGTGGACCATAAAGTTCCATTTCGTGTATATTTCTGCATTCTTTCAGTTGGAACATCTTTGCTACTGATTCTTTTCTTTAGTGTTATATCTACCTGAATCAAAATAGCAGAGTTTGTCTTGTAATATTTGAGATGTTTCATATGATATACCATGTCTGATTCAATAACTGAAAAAACCATCCTTTTTGTTTTTTTACTTTTGTTGAAGGCTGAATTGAAAGAGAAATTAGGAAGGATCTACGATGTGAAAGATCCAAATTCCATCTTCGTATTCAAGTTCAAGACTCATTTCGGTGGGGGGAAATCAACTGGTTTTGGTTTGATCTATGATTCTGTTGAGATTGCGAAGAAGTATGAGCCAAAATACAGACTTGTCAGGGTAAATCTCTAACCTAAATCCGCTAGATGACATTATTATGTGGATGCATCCAACGAATAATACTACTTAATATAGAATCAAACTTCATTCTTATCGTTTATACTTTTAATGCTAAATGATTCAGAACCCTTGTGGTAGTTTAAAATTTGGGTTTGCTGGCTAGTTGTTAACCGTTCCATCCTTTCGAGGGCCACTAGAGGTTTGTCTAGCTGTTTGACTTTCCATTCTGCATTTACATGCAGAATATCTTATTCAAGATCTAAACTTTTAAACTCGGGGTTTGCAATTGGATATAGGGATTGGGGAAGGGATTGATTTACAATAATGCCCTTGTAAGAAGATACTGAACATGACTAAATTCTCGATTGAAATGAGAAAAATGCAGAAAAGCTTCCTGCAGATCGAAGAAAAATTGATTTTATTTATTTATCATTTTGTGTGTTACAGAATGGATTGGATACCAAGATTGAGAAGTCAAGGAAGCAGATGAAGGAAAGGAAGAACAGATCAAAGAAGATCCGGGGGGTAAAGAAGGTAAATATTTTGATACTAACATCTTTAAAAAAATCACATGATCTTGTTTCTGATCTTGGATTTCACGCAAGTAGAATAAATTACAAAAACGTCCCCGGGGTTTGTGGAAAATCTGGTTTTAGGTTTCTAACTTTTGGAAATTACAAGGACCGTCAGGGACTCTTTTTGTAATTTCACATGACTTTGTCCGTGAACTTGGTTTTCGTTTTAGGTGATTGTTTGGAATTCGTGTATGGAGACAAAGGCTGGGGATGCTGCCAAGAAGAAGAAATGAGAAGCTTGAGGAATTTTGTTGTGGTTATTTTGAAGGCCCTTTTGGTAATTTTGAACCTTATATATTTCTTGAAATTAAGATGAATTGTAGTTGTCGAATTTGTGCTATCAGGAGAATGTTGTTCGTAGTCTCATATTTGAACTCCATTTTGGTCTTATTGTGATGGTTATATATCTTGAAGGTAGGTAAATCTGTTCATGTTCATGTTGTTCATGTTGAACCAACCTAAACTTGGATTATTATGTAACGAACATTTGTTAAAATGCGTTATATATCTCTCAAACCCAATCACAGTTTCGCCTAAGTAACAAATGATTTACTCGTTCTCTCTTACTGTACTCTAAAAAGTCATGGTTTTGTCTTGTGTCTTTTTATTTGTTTAGTAGATATCACAATTGTTGTTAATGTTCAGATAATTTCGGAAGTCTAGATTTGGGGAGGCCGATGAAGTGGAACTGAATTTCATTAACAGGTGTTAAAGCCTTAAAAGTGGATTCTTCTATATACGCTTTACTCCTAACAGTACTCTTATGATTAAATAGGAGAACCAATGAAGATTTGAACCTTTTTCTTGTAATCCTCAACCAAGAGATCAGACGGTTATTGCAACAGGTTTGATATCCTTTTAATAATTGTAGAATTGATATCACATTGATTCAAATTTGTTCATACATATATGAAAAATAGTTGTTCATTCATATATCTTGAACTTGTTTTACTGTATACAGAATCAATATCTACAAATGAGTTGTTGTTCATGTTGATTTTAGACTATTATGTAACGAACAATAGTTGTTCATGTTCATGTTGTTCATGAAGAACCATACTAAAATTGTTGTATTATGTAACGAACAGTTATTTAAATGAGTTATATATCTCCCAAACCCAAAGACAACATGGACAGTTAGGTGACACACAGAGCACTTTTCAATAAAATGATTACAGGTCTGATTATTTATGATATAAAAACAGAGTGAACACAATAAGTTTTATTATTCATACTTGTGTCATAGACAAGTGGAGTTAAATTCAACCGTTCTTGATTTGTTCGTGTGTGCAGCAGAAAAACATATGAATTTCCCGTTCATATCAAACACCAAGATGTACGGACGATGTTCAACATGTCAACAACATTCATTGCAGCCATGAAAGCATGTAATTATCGAAGGTAACAACTTTTCATTTAAACGGAAAAAAGAATGACATTTGAGCACATACCAATATGAATGGTTTGTTCATTTTCTTCACTTTCGGAATTCGAATTCTGAATGTATTCGCAAGCGCTTTTAGCGTTTTCGTTCTTATTGTCGTCGCTCTGTTTTACTGTATGAACATTCATTTTACTCGAACTATAATGGTATCTTGACAAAAGAGACGATATTCGAATTTATACTAAAACCATGTTATATAGAACATATGTAAAAATGTTTAAGATGAACAATTATGAAACATGATGCCATTAGTAAATGATGATCAATTAGTATAATCTTAAGATTTTGTAACTCCCATTTAAAAGATAAGAATATTTGGGAGTTACAAACCATATGTAAATGTTCATATGCTCAGTTTCATATATTTATTTTTTTCCAGCCCAGGTAGTGCACATATAGGACAAACAACAGCACTCAAAATAGACACAATGCTGCATATATTATAGTTTAATGTCCAGCGTTTAATGTGTTGGGTTTTTCAAGTGGGTATGTATTTCTTCATATATCTTGTGGAGTGTTCATGTTCATTTAAAATGTCTACGCAAATTTTATTGTGAACCTTGATGTCATTAATAAAAGAAGATCATTTAGTATAATTTTAAGATTTGTAACTCCCATTTAAATATTTGGGAGTTACATTAGATTGAAAATGACCTAAATACCCCTATCATTAAAAGGTGAGTTACATTTGAACCAAACAAAAAGATGAAATGTGATTGGTTGATGTTGGTTAGCATGGTTAGTACAAAATATTGGGTTAGTATTTGAACCAGCCCCTATATAGATATATATATATATATATATATATATAATGGATATATATATATATATATATAATGGATATACATGTGGAATATCAAACAACCATTTCCTCTTATACTTTGCAAGAAGAGCAAGTTAGCCATGCATGCTACTGCACGACCAAAATCATGTAAACCTAACCACTCACTAAAAGTTTGAACCTCCAAGATCCAAATCTTCCTAAATTCAGATTTAGGTATTTTGACTATTTAAAAGAACAATTTTGCAAACATATGAATTAGTTTAATGTGTCAAACTGTCAATTGTATCTATTTACCAAACAAAACCAAACCAAACACAACATACCTCGTATATTTATCTCACAGATGGGATCGGACAGATGTACACAAACCTGACTTCCACCCCCAAATAGTAAAATGACTATTTCCATGCAAAATGTGCCGAAAAAACGAATAAAGCTTGCTCCAAACTTTTGAGGAAAAATAACTGTTAGGTCTGAATTTCAGTATAATTTGTATTCGTCATGAAAGTTACTTTTGTTTTAAATGGGTATCCGAACCAACGCTTGACTAATCCCAGGCACATCCAGGGCTAAAGCATGCCCCTTTAGTAAATGTCTCACAGGATGTGTGAAGAGGAGTTTGAACCTGGGTTCAGAGCTCTAAACTGCCCAGGCACTAACCACTCCACCACAACACTGATTGACTTCTTGAAAGTTACTATTGTCTTTAATTAAATAGACATCGTGTTTGACTTTATGTTTGACTTTGACTAGAGGGTTGAACTTTGACCCTATAAATAGATTTTGTCCTTTGTAATTTTAGTGTAGTAGATTTCATTGTAAAGATACATATACATTTGAGAGATATATTAGCATTGACTGAGTTGACTTTCTCTCTCATCTCTCATCTCATGTTCTTAATGTTCATATCTTAAATATCTCATGGATTATTGAAGATTTACTTGAAGATTGATCAAAGTGGACTTACATTTGATGTCAGAGCAAGTTGTGCAAGAAATCAACATGAAGAAATCACTTTCTTAAAGATTTTCTGGAAATTTTTTTCTGATTCATCTTGTTCTTGATAATGTTCTTCATTTTTTTTAAGTTTTTGATCCAAATTTTTTTCAATTATTTGTGTTTTTTGTGTTAAAATCGTGATCAAACTGTGCGTAATCACTTCGTGAATCTTTGTTATTCACAAAGATTTATATTTTGACCATTGATTTTTGAGATTTGGTGGAATTTTGTGTTTTTGAATTTTTTTTGTATTCTTGAAAATCTTAAAAAGTCAAGATTTTGATCCGAATTTTTATGAAAAGGTTGTTATTTTTGTGTTTTTGCTTCACCCGGTTTGATGTCAGTATTTTTTTTTGGACTTTCAATTGCTTCTAAATCGTTCAATCAGTATTTTTGGACTTAACTCTTTTAATGGCCCAACCAGTTTCGGCTAAATCACACAAGGCCCATCTGTATTAGTTCTACATCGCTCATAGCCTTGCACGGTTTAGGTCCTTCATCGCTTATCTTTGCATTCGAGTTCCATCTTAATCGGACTCGGGACTTGTGGTCATTTTTTTCCAGGTTATACGGATACCACACCATCCGGATTTGGTGTAACTCGCACAAAGGGCCATTCACATACAAGCTTACCTTGCACAAAGGCCTGTCAGATTTCTAGTTCCTCGCACACAGGCTCACCCGGGTTAACACTTTTGTCCGGATTTGCTACTTGTCCGATTTAGGTGTTCCTCGGTAACCCCTTTTGTCCGGATTTGCTTCCTCAGCCAACAATTTAGTTTTGCTCGGTAACTTCACCTGGATACAGTCGTCTTCGCACACAGCCACATCCGGTTTAGCCTCAACCTCGGACAAAGCCTCATCCGATTTAGACCTACCTCGATCATCCCTTTACCCGGATTCAACTTGACTGTTCTCAACCGATTTGTTCATGTCTAAATCCAAAATCCAAGTCCAAATCGGTCATTAAGTCAGTGGATTTCAAGTCTAAATCGCATATTAAGTCAGTCGATTTCACTTACTAAGTACAAATCGTTCACTGACACTGTTCGATTTCAACTTAATCGAAAACATACCTGTTCGATTTTACCCTTAATCGAAGAACATCTTGTCCGATTTTCATCTTAAGTCGCTGCGTTGTGTTCGGTTTTTTCTAAATCGCAGGAACACAACAGCTTTACATGGATTCGATGATCTTCGCATAAGTCTTTGACCGGATTTCTTATTCCTCGAACAGACTCAACCGGATTTCTTCTTCATCGCACGCCCTTCTCCCTTAAATCGCTGCACTGTGTTTTTTTTTTTTCATCATAAATCTCCTTCTTTCTAGATTTTTTTTGGGCCTGATTCTTTTTTTTGGGTTGTTTGTTTTCTAAACCCATCTGTTTTGTTTGTTTTTAAGCATTTTTTTAAGCCCATATTGTTTTAGCTCATTTTTTTAGCCTATTCAATTGTGTGGCCCATATCAGTTTTTGATATATTTTTTTATAAAAAAAATTAGATTTTATTTTTTTTAATTTTTGGATCACATTTTTTTTGAGATCGTAACTGATTTTATCTGATTTGAACTGTTTGAGAATTTTTGAATCGTTTTGTGTCGCGTAAACTGTTTTTGATTGTTTTTAACTGTTTTAACTGTTTTAGACTGTTTCTACTGATTTTTAACTATTTTTGCAGATTTTCTGATTTTTCATCAGTTTTTTGAGCTTTTCTGATTTTGATTTCTTTGATTGATTTCATCGCATTAGATTCTTTTGATCAATCTGATTTTTGAAAATGGCAGTTTTTCTTGAGAAGGAGATTAGGGAATTGAAAGAAAAGATCTGTGAATTGGAGAAAAGTCTGTAGAATTATAAAGATAAATATGTGAATATGTTCTATGAAAATCATGCAAATGAGGAATTTATTAAAGATTTAAAACGGGAACATAAAGAAAGAAGTGAACGTATTGAAAATGATTTCATGTATAGTATTGAAAATCTTAGGAAAACTCTGAGTTCTGTGAGAAAAGAGTGTGATGACGAATTGAAAACTTGGAGTAAATCAAATAAAGATCTGTTTAATAAACTTCAAGAGGTTAAAAGTGCACTACAAACTG